TATATTTAATTGATCGTGCAAGAATTAAAGAGCTGCTAATTCAAACAAATTGCTAAACATTAGTATTAAAAGACAGAAAGAATTATTTAAAAAAAATTATTAATAATTAATAGTTATTAGATGCAAAGCATCCAATAACTGTAGTATTTGGCACATTGATACTAATTAAATAGTGATCAGCTAATCACTATTTAATTAGTATCAAGTGACAAATATGAAGATGTATCTGGCCCAGAAATCTGGAATTTAATATGCTAGACTCTGGAACCCATAGGGGCCAGAGTCTAGCATATTAAATTCCAGATTTCTGGGCCAGATACAGAAGTTATTGGTGCATAGCAGCCAATAACGGTTTTATCTGGTAGATGATAATGATTAGACAACTATTACATTTATAATAATACTGTAATTTAAGCTTTTGCTTTTTTTATTTACTTCTTACGAAGCAATATGCCAAAAGCAAAGGTTCGAATATAAAATTTATTTAGCCAAATAAAAATAAATATTTTAAATTATTTATTTTTTACTAGCAAAATAATGTATTTTACAAACCATCACAAGAAGAAATTCTTGCAACAAGAACTGGTGTTATTCCAGCAAATACTAGAAAAGCCACCGATAAGTGGGTTCAAATTTTAAAAAATTGGTGTCAAACAGTTGGCTATAATTATGGAATTGAAACGATCAATAATAAAGATCAATTAGAAGCCGAAATGACAGAATTTATATTAGAAATATGACAAATTAAAAATTCTGCTGAATACTCACCTTCATTTCTTATCAATTGTATAAACTTATTAAGTTTATATCTTCTTAATCACCCTAATGGAAATCATCAATTTATATTATCAAATAAAAAAGAATTTAGATTATTATGGTCTATACTAAACGGCAAGTTAAAACAATTAAAAAAATATGGAACTATTGTAAAGCACCATAACAATTTAACAGATGAAGAAATACAACAAATATTTCAACATAATTCCGTTTCTATCAACGATCCTCAAGATTTACAATATCGTATTTTTATATGGTGTTGTTTACTGTTTCAACCCAGAGGGGGAGAACATTATTCAATCAAAATATCTCAGTTTGTTTTTATGTCAGATGGTGGATTACGATTTACTAAATATTCTCAAAAGAACGATTAGGGTGGTATTGAAAGCGATAATACAGGTTTAATAATTCCTATACCACCTGATTCTGCAGATTTTCAAGGACCAATTCATGATTTTAAGCTTTATATTTCAAAACATCCTAATGATTGTCAATGTCCTTATTTACATCTTCGAATTAACAATAAATTTGCATGTAAGTTTTATTAAGTTATATATTTGTATTATAATTTCACTTATATTATTATTAAATTTAGATGATCCAGAAGAATCTTGGTATTGTGATAAAAGACTTGGTGAAAAATTATATCAAACGTTTATGAAAAACATCTGCAATATTGTTGGTATTGATACCAATAATCGCAGTATTACCAACCATTCTGGACATCTACTTCAATTACTGCCTTATTTAGACAAGGAGTTTCAATGGTAACGACAATGGCAATTACAGGCCATAAAAGTGAATCCTCTTATCAAGTTTATACAAGGCCTTCCGAAAAAGACAAAGAAGATGCATTATCAAGCTTGATTAATAATATTGAGCTACCTTTGAAGCAAAATAATGTAAGTATTATTATATCATATTAATTTACATAAAAATTATAATTAAATATTTAAAATTTTTATGTATAAAACCAGAATTGTCTTAAAAATTTACCTGCTACTCACAATGATACTCAAGATGATCAAGCGAAGCCTCTAAAATCAAAGGTATTTTATATTTATATTATCGATAATTTATAAATTAATAATAATATTATAAATTACGATTTTTTATTTTAGATTGATTCAAATTCAGCAACAAGATTAGCTAATAAAGTATTAAACGAATCAACCAGAAAATGGAAATCTGTGACAAAGCCTTTTCGTACAACCAACGGAACAGCAAAAATCCTATGAATATAATTACCAAACTGCTGAAGATAGAATGGATGGAAATGTGATCGTAAAAAATTATTATATTACTGCAGATAAAGTTACGATCAATTAATATACATATTATTTAAATAGTATCGTTATATAATATCAAATAATATGTAAAATTTATATTCGCTTAAATATAATAAATATTGCATTTGATTATATATAATAACATATTTACTGAATTTACTAATTTGCCGAATAATAAAAACTGCCAAATAATAAATTTATTTGACAATCTGATTATAGTCATCTACCAGATAATAATCATTATTAATAATTACATTAATATTTAATATTTACATTGATTTTTACATTAAATATTTATAAATATTCGAATCGACTTTTACCGCTTTTATTACATAATTTCAAGAATATAACTTTACAACTCATGAAACTTTTAACCGAATATTAGGGACATTTATTTAAAAAAGGAAAAACAAGCGAAGCTTGATTTATAGAAGCCGTTAAAATGAATGTTTAAATGAACTAAAAATTCAGACCTTCAGTGTTCAAATATTGGGTAGTTAATATTTTTAAAGCTTATCATATTGGTGCAACAGAAGAACTGCATCTGTTTAAACAAGATAAGAATAAGTTGAGGATACAAGTGTACTATATCGAAAATTTTTACAAAGTAAATTGTGCTGCCACCAAGCAACTGAGACGGTGGCTATGAAAAAGCTGAAAAAGTTAAATTTATTTTTGTTTCTTAAAAATAAAAATAACAACAATTACAACCTTCTTATTAAATTTAGATTAGATACTTCTATATTCTCCAGCAGTTAGTTAAGAATATGATTAATAAATATAAAGCGTGTAATTACTCGACATATTTTTAAAAGAGTTCCACCAATGCGCCTTATTGTTTCTGAAGATTTTCTAAATCACGCTAAAATATGTATGTTATATTAACTTTAATAAAATAAGTTTATATTAAAATTTAAATTGCATTAGTTCGATACTATCAGCTCTTTTAAATGTTAAAAAAAAAACTGTGAATTTATTCAAAACAAAATGGAAGTAAAGTATAAAACAAAATGAAATTGAACATACGAACCTGGTGATTTAGTAAAAATTCGTATTCCCACCATTGATAAATTAAAGATAGATCGAAGACATATATCATGCAAGGTCTTTCAAAGGATATCTAACCATGATTCTTACTAAGCCGCCTGCAAATTTGGGGTCCCCGACAATTGGTACTCATCAAATTAACTTGAACCACTGGGTACCTCTGATTGTCCTGATCTCAATGTATACCACTAAATAATATACTTCAATTAAGAGAGGCAGATGCCATAAAAACCTTACACTCCTACTTATAACAATAGAAGTTCAACTAATAATAATCACAAACGTTCAACCTATAATTTTCAAGATGGTCAAGCTCATTGTATTAGTGATTACCTGCCAAATACGTCTCTTGACTAAGTAATAAAAAAAAAACGTAATAATAATAATAATATTTTTATCACCATTATTATTATTAATATTAATTATATAATTTTTGTAACATTAGTGTTATGAATTATAATATTGGTTCAGACACCCGACAAGAAACCTGTCGTTGCCGAAAAACAAATTGTGACACCAAATCATATTCTTGCAGAAAAAGAAATTCATTATGTTCAAGAAAATGCGAATGTGTTCTACGTGAGAAATGCAAAAATCATTAATAACATAGCATAGCGAACATTCATTGTAATTGGTTAGATTTTGTTGATCATCTCGTGATTTTATTTGCTAATCACCTAATC